CTTTTTTGCATAAAGCCTTTCTTTTTCTTGGATTATTTCTATAAAATATATTCCCATAAATGGGATTTCTGGGCCAAATGATATAAATGTTTTATATATTGCCAAATCATTATTTTCTTTAACTATTTACAACTTTTATAGCCATTCACATTGCTGTCAGAAAGATATTAAAGGAACCTTGCAGTGTAGTAAATTACTTAGTATGGCTTTTCTACCCATTAGTCATTGTAAATTCAGTGGTGGAATGAGCCACTGAGGAGCTCCTGATTGTAAATGTTATCCACCTGGGTTATTTCTGTTGGGCGTAGCACAACGCAATGTTATGGGAGGTTCTCTCTCAGGTGCTTAGAGTTCTGATGCTATGATTGGATAGTTTGGCCACTCTGCCAAGCTCAAAAGGAGGCCTCCTAGAGGCAGAACTCTCTCTGACTGCTGGTTGAGGAAGACTTGCTGCTGAAAGAGACACACACTCCTGAGACACGCATTGCTGGGAAAGAGACGCAAGAGACATGCATTGCTGAGTGAGACACCAAGGGACCAGCACTGCTGGGAAAGAGATTGTGAGAGACTGTTGGCTGAGGAATGGTGGGCTGGGAGAGAGACTGAGCGTTTTTCCTGAACTTGAATTGTAACCTGGTGCTTCCCTAATAAACCCCGTAGTCTGTGAGTTCTGTGTGGCCACTGCAGTGAATTATAGAACCCAGGAGAGAGGTGGTGGGTGCTTTGAGAGGAACAGTTGTAGAAAGGGCTGGAGGGAGGCAGCATGTCTGGCCTCGCAGGAATAGGCCTTGGGCTATTGATGGTGATTCTGTCTTCCTCTTGTGGGATTAGAGGAGGTCAGAACATGTGGCCTCCTTGCCCTTTTTGCAAACCTATTTCACCATTCCACCACTCGTCTGTCAGTTTGTTGTATTGTGACAACTTGCGTGTTGCTGTCAGGCTGGAGGCTTTGCCACTAGTATTTCATATACCATCAGGGTCACCCATGGTGGACAGGTTTCAGTGGAGCTTCCAATCTAAGACAGACTGGAAGAAGGACAGGATCAACTACTTCTGAAAAAACTGGCCAGTGAAATAACCTTATGAATAGCAGTGAAGCACTAGCTATTACTGGAAAAGTTTAGGAAAGCCATGAATCACTGTCTGATACAACGCCAGATGAGCCCCTCAGATTGGAAGGCACTCAGAATGTGACAGGGGATGAGCTGCCTTATCAAAGAAGAGTCGACCTTGATAACATGGATGGAGTAAAGCTTTCAGGCCCTGCATTTAGTGACGGGGCATGACTCAATGGGAAAAAAGAGCTGCTGCAAACAGCCATTAATAATCAGAACATGAAATGTATGAAGTACGAATCTAGTGAAATTGCAAGTTGTGAAAAATGAAACATAAAAAGATCAATATCATAGATACTAGTGAGGGGAAATGGGCTGGTATTTTCTATATGCTGAGAATGAGAAACTGAAGAGGAATGGTGTCGTATTCATTGTCAAAAAGAACATTTCAAGTTCTATCCTGAAGCACAATGCTGTCACTGATAGGATAATATTCATATGCCTAAAAGGAAGACCAGTTAATACTACTAGTGTTCAAATTTATGCACCAAGCACTAAAGCCAAAGATGAAGAAATTGATGATTTTTACCAACTTCTGCAGTCCAAAATTGACCAAACATGCAATCAAGGTGTACTGATTATTACTGGTGATTGGAATGCAGAGTCATCAGTGGCTGGAAAATAGGGCCTTGGTGATACAAAGGACACCATAGATTACACAACAGAATTTTGCAAGACCAATGATTTATTCATTGCAAATACCTTTTTTGAACAACATAAATGGTGGCTACATACATGGACTCACCAGATGGAATACACAGGAATGAGACTGACTACATCTAGGCAATGAGGAAGCTCAATATCTTCAGTCAATACGAGGCCAGGACCTGACTGTGGAATGGACCATCAACTGCTCATATGCAAGTTCAAGTTGAAGCTGAAGAAAATTAACACAAATCTACAAGAGCCATAATATGACCTTGATTATATTCCACCTGAATTTAGAGACCATCTGAAGAACAGATTTGATGAACGGAACACCAATGACCAAAAAGCAGACAAATTATGGGATGACATCAAGAAAATCATACATGAAGAAAGCAAATGGTGGTTAAAAAGGCAGGAAAGGAAGAACAGACCAAAATGGATGTCAGAAGAGACTCTGAAACTTTCTCTTGCATGGAGAGTAGTTTAAAGTAAACAGAAGAAATGAGATAAAAGAACTGAACAGAAGATTTCAAAGGGCAGCTTGAAAAAACAAAGAATTATAATGAAATGTGCAAAGACTGGGAATTAGAAAACCCAAAAGGAAGAATATGCTCGGCATTTCTCAAGCCCAAAGAACTGAAGAAAAAAATTCAAGCCTTAAGTTGTACTAGGATTCTATGGGCAAAGCATTGAATGATGCATGAAGCATTAAAAGAAGATAGAAGGAATACACAGTGTCACTGTACCAAAAAGAAGCAGTTGATGTTCAACCATTTCAGGAGGTAGCAGTATGACCAAGAACCAATGGTATTGAAGACAAATGTCCAAGCAGCACTGAAGGAAGTAGTCGAAAACAAGACTCCAGGAATTGACAGAATACCCATTGAGATGTTTCAACATATGGATACAGCACTTAAGGTGTTCACTCATTCATTTATGCCAAGAAATCTGGAAGACAGCTACCAATGTAATCAACTGGAAGAGAGCCATATTTGTGCCCATTCCAAAGAAAGATGCTTCAACAGAATGTGGAAGTTATTGAATAATATCCTTAATATCACACACAAGTAAAATTTTGCTGAAGATAACTCAAAAATGGTTGCAGCAGTATATTGACAGGGAACTCCAGAAATTCAAGCTACATTCAGAAGAGGACATGGAATGAACAATATCATTGCTGATGTCAGATGGATCTTGGCTGAAAGCAAAGAATAACGAAGATGTTTATCTGTGTTTTACTGATTATACAAAGGCATTTGACTTTGTAGATCATAACAAATTACACATAACATTGCAAAGAACAGGAATTCCAGAACACTTAATTGTGCTCACGAGGAACCTGTATATAGACCAAAAGGCTATTGTTCAAGCAGAACAAGGGGATACTTGTTTATAATCAGGAAGGGTGCATGTTGGCATTGTATCCTTTCATCACACTTATGCAATCTGTATGCTGAGCAAATAATCCAAGAAGCTGGACTATACAAAGAACACAGTGTCAGGATTGGAGGAAGACTCATTAACAACACGTGATATGCAGATGGCACCATCTTGCTTGCTGAAAGTGAAGATGACTTGAAGCACTTACTGATGTAGATCAAAGACTACAGTCTTCAGTATGGTTTATACCTTAACATAAAGAACACAAAAGTCCTCACAACTGGACTAATAAGCAACATGATCATAAGTAGAGAAAAGACTGAAGTTGTGAGGGATTTCATTTTGTTTGGATCCACAATCAACACCCATGAAAGCAGAAGTCAAGAAATCAGACTGGACAAATCAGCTGCAAAAGACCTCTTTGAAGTATTAAAAAACAAAGATGTCATTTTGAAGACTAAAGTAAGCCTAACCCAAGCCAGGGTATTTTCAATTGTGTCACATGCATCTGAGAGCTGGAAAATGAATAAGGAAGTTAGTGAAAATGGGAAAGACGCTCAATTAGATGGACTGACATGGTGGCTGCAATGATGGGCTCAAGTATCGCAAGGACTGAGGATGGTGCATGACTGGACAGTGTTTCATTTTGTTGTGCACAAGGTGGCTATGAGTCAGCACAAAGTCAACAGCAACTCACAACAACAACAACATTTTACCATTAGGAGTCCTGGTAGTGAAGTGGTTAAGTGCTTGGCTGCTAACTGGAAGGTTAGTGGTTCAAATCCATCAGCTGCTTCATGGGATAAAGATGAGGCAGTCTGCTTCCTTAAAGATTTACAGCCTTCGAAATCCTATGGGGCAGTTCTACTGTGTCCTATAGGGTCACTCACTATGAGTTGGAATCGACTTGATGGCAATGAGTTTTTTAGTTTACTCTATAGCAACCAAAATAGTTGATATAGAGTTGATTGTAACTCATGGCAACTTCACGTATGTCAGGGTAAAACTGTGCTCCATAAGGTTTTCAATAGCTGATTTTTTAAAAGTAGCTTCCAGGCCTTTCTGCTTTTCTTCCATGGTGCCTCTGGATGGACCTCCAACTTTTGGGATATCAGTCTTTGGGTGTAAATGTTTGAAACACCCAGAAACTCCATAATTTTGTTAAAATTGAGTATAACTTAAGCATTTTTGCCCACACCTGTGGCTTCCAGCCTAACAAAAGACAGGCATATGAGTTGAACATTTACCTGAGATAGATACACTCCTTGGAGAGAACAATCATGGGAGAAAGAGGGGCTGTTTATGCATAGGGAGACAGCTCAGGGGGCAGAAGTACATGGAGGGATGGACACAGGGAAAAGGTAACTATCGGGAGAAGTGGGAGGGGAGCTGTTGCATTGGGTAAATTGTAGTCAATGTCATTAGACAAACTGTATGTGAACTGCTGTATAGAAAGTGAACTTGCTCTGTAAATTTTCACCCAAATCACAATTAAAAAAAATAAACAAACCCATTTTTGCTAATTTAGATAAATACAAAATGGTTGCTCCTAGTTTTACTTTGTATATGTGGTCATTAAGGTGGTTATATTTTTCCTTATTTGTTTAGTTCCTACAGTTTCTCACATAAATTACCTATTCATTTTCCTCTTTCATTTATCTAGCAGCTCTTAGTGCTTTTCTTACCCATTTGTGTCTGCTTTTTATATTATTACAAATATTTGATCCTTTGGCTATTTTTACATATTTATGAATTGAGTATCTCCAAACTGGAAAAGAGTTTATTTACTACAACTCCCTATTTAGTAAGAAACCCCCACAAACTGAAATATAATTACAAACTGAGAAAATGTCTTACCTGTTAACACTGTCATAGCTGAGTCATCCTTGCCTGCTGCTTCAAGTGCAAGCATAATTTCGTGATACATCTATGTGAATGGGAAGATCAAAGAACTCTGAAAATGAGGCCCACTACCCAACATATTCACTAAATGTCAGTCTGTAAGCCTGTTCTCTACAAAGCACCAAACATTTATGTTGATTGCATATAAATAACCAAAAAGATGGAATAATACATCTGAAAGGATTGTATTTCGTTTTACAGTTACTTGGTAGGTATTATGTACCAGGTGTTGTAATAGATGTTGAGGGATATAACCACTTTTTAAAAAAACTGAACAAAAGACAGTCCTGGAACTTTTGGAGTTAACGGGATTATATAGCGCTAAAATGGAGGGAGAGGTGGAAAAGAATGAAGCAGGAAACTCAAGAGAAAACAGTGAGATTGGCTTAGGGAGGACAGGATGGGAGGTGGTCAGAGAGAACTTTCGAGGAAGTGATATTTAAGTTGTGACCTTAAGAAAGAGGAGGAATGTCCTAGGCCATCTGGAAAAAGTTAATGAATGCTAAAATGCTGGAATTCCCAAGGTATTCTAACAGTACACAAAGACAACAGACCCAGCATTTTAAACCAACAGCATCTCTGAAAATTTTGGATGTGTCACTATTACAACTTTTAATACATTTATAACAGGTATAGTTTCTACCATATGAGATTTCAATGTGGGATAGAATGAGAGGGTTGATAATTAAGGACACACAGACACTGAAAGAATAAATAATCACAGACTTTACATAATGTGGAATGAGGAGGTAATCTTGTTATTATGAGTTATGGTGACACAGCACAACAAGATGGCTGGCAAGAGACAGGATTGGATTAGGTTTCCATTTAAGTTTTCCTGCTTATTAGTTATGTGAACTTGAGCAAGTTACTACTTAACCTCTCTAATGATTTCATTATCAAATAATTATAAAAAATAATTAGTTAAACCTGTGTGTGAAAAGTGCTGATACTTCTTCGGCACTCTATGAAGAACAGCCTTTATTATTATTACCATACATGAATGAGTCAGGGAAAATGGAAATAAAGTTTTAAGAATCAAAAGCTTTATTGAGTAGCATATATTCAACTTTAAGGAATTATTACTTAAGATTATTTTAAATTCATATGCTCTTTCTAGGAGTCCCTGGGTGGTATAAACATTTAAGCATTTGACTGCTAACCAAAAGGCTGGCAGATCAAACGTACTCAGAGCCATCTCGGAAAAAAGCCCTGGTGATCTGCTTCTGAAAGGTCATTCATAGCCTTGAAAACTCTGTGGACCAGTTCAACTCGGTTACCATAAATCACCATGAATTGGAGTCTATGCCATGTCCATTCCATGGCAACTGGTCTGCTAGTATACCCTTTCTACTACAATATAATGGAAGAGGTCCTTGTTACTAGCTGCTGTTGAGTTGGACTCCTTTAATTTTACTCCCAACCATCCATCTATCTCCCTATAATTTTTGCCAAGGGAGGAGGGCATTAGGGTGGTTATTTTTATTATTCTCTTTCAGTAACAGACTCAAGTTGCCACTCATTTCAAGCAGAAATAGGTTACTATCTACTTATCATAAGCCCTATTCTCCTTTCTCCCTCTATTTATATAAAAACAAAAACAAACTCTATGTAAGCAGAGTCATACTTTCAAATCTAAGTGGCATGAAGATACTTCTTGGAATATTCTATGACAGGTTTACCAACCTTGGTGAACTAACTTAACTCACTGCCATCAAGTCGATTTTAACACATAGCAACACCTCCTTGGGTTTCCAAGGTAGTATCTCTACAGAAGTAGATTGCTCAGTCTTTCTTCTGAGGAGTGGCTGGGTGGGTTTGAACCAGCAGCCTTCTAGTTAACATTCAAAATGCTTTAGGCACTATGCCCCCGGAGCTCCCAGGGCTTCTATATTCTTTGGTATCAGCTTATATTTCATATATATTAATTGAATCTATTTTGCTTCCATTTTTAGGGGCATCACAGTGCCTTTTGAACATGCAGACCCCACTCAAGGCTTATAAATTCTAAATACTGAATGCTCACTTGTGTTGTGTAAGAAGTGACAATTATTACTCTTCCTGTACAATCAAAGAAGAGAGATCACAACAATAGGAACAATGCTGAAACTACAGTTTCTGAATGAACAAAACAAAGGAGGGGGGGAATAAAAAAACAGCAAATTCTCAGGGGAAGGAGAAATTACCTGAGTGGTCACTGAATTTTTTTTGGCAGGACGGTTTAACATGATCTTTGTGATGCCGTCTTCTGAGGTGACCACCACAGCATCATGTCCAGACTGTTTACCATCTGTACCAGGCTTCCCTTGGCTAGAGGATTCAGATGTACTCAAATTGGACACCAAGTCCACATAGTTTTGCCTGGCCCTTTCCTGAAGAGAAGACAGCAAAGAGTTTCAGGCCATGGTCATTAAATAAGCACTTTGAGAAACTTACTAAACTATAGCACCTTGCAATGAACTGTAAACAGAGGTACATCAAGATCTTGAAGCATCCATCTACAACAGCATGATTATAAGAAATACTAGGCTTCCTTAGGGGAAATACATTAAGTAAAATAAAAGCACAGGAAATGCAAACTCACCTTGGGGAGACTGCCAAGAGCACTCCATGCGTCCCATTTGGCCTTATTGATCAAGTCAAACATACCTGGTTTTGGCATATTACAAGGTCCTTCTGTAGCCTGTGGAAAAAGAGAGGGAGCTAAATGCTCAAACAACCATTGGAGCTCTGTCTACTTAAGATCCATAAACTCCACAGCTAACAGGAAAGCCTGATGGTCATCTCTCCCACCACAAAAACCTTTCATAAGGTTTTTCATAACGAATTTCTCCCTGCCTCTTCTTCTTCTTCTTTTTTTTTTTTTGGTAATGCAGTATTGTAGATATACCGGTATTAGCCTCTGTCGTCTATATCTTACGTGCACAATTCGGTGTCCTCCCTGCCACTTCTTGATGTTGTTAAAAATATACAAATAACAGGAAAGAAGCTAGAGAAGCAAAATGTGCTATGAACTATCAGTCCCTGAAATAGCTTATAACTACCTGCATACACAAAGCACTGCAAGATAAGGGTCTTGGGGAGTTTTTTTTTTTTAATTCTAAATAGTTATTTAATTTTATATTGATAATCACACTTTTCATACACAATCAAAATATTCAGGCAAATGATCTTCAAGATAAATTAGGCAACAAACATTTAAGAACTCAGTGAAAACACACCACTAATTTAGTAGTGGACTAGGTAAAAGTTGTAGCTCAGGGACAGGTGCAGGATTGTCACTGGCTCATAGGAAACGTAACTGAAGGACATGTAAGTAAAAAGCAAATAGCAACTTACTTGTTTCAGGTAGGTGGAGTGGGTGTTTCACAATAGATAAAACATCCCATTGGGCTACTTTTTAGAAATGGCAATTTGAAACTCCATTTAAAAATTTTAATTTCTATAATTAGTTAAAAGAAGAAAGAAGGAAGACTTCAAATCACAAAGGCAATAAAAGAGACTAAGGCTATAGACAAAGAGACAGAGAGCAGCTACATTCATGAATAAGCCAGATAAGAAAAAAGAGGGAGTGCAGTCCTCAAGGCCACCTTCTAGAAGGACTCACAAAACTCACTGGAAGCTGTTATACTCAGTTTATTAAAGGGAAAAGACATCGAATATCAGTCAAAGGAAGAGATGCATAGGGCAGACCTCAGGAGGGGTTCACATGGTGCTTTCCATCGTTCTCTCCTCGTGGAGTCAGGTCCGTTCCAGGTATCGGTATGTGACAACACATAGAGTCCTCTTCTGAGCCTTGGTGTCTAGGCCTTTCATTGGGGATCCATCAGCCCGTGACTGATCGCAGTCTCCAGTCCCTCCAGGTGTGGCTCGAAGTTCTCCCCCACTACTACTATCTGGAGAAGCTCTGGTAGCGTAGTGCCTAAGGCACTTGACTGCTAACCAGAAGGCTGGCGGCTCAAACCCACCAGCCACTCCTCGGAAGGAAGATGGGGCAATCTACTTCCATAGTGATACTGCCTCGGAAACCCAAGGAGGGGTCGCTATGAGTCCAGTCGTCTCCACAAAACAACAGTGTAACTCAGAGCCCCCCACGCAAACAAAAACGCACTAATCATGCAACACATTCCAGAGACCTAGAGATTACCTCCCAGAATCCGAGGGCAAAAACCAGATCTCTCTTTGGGCAAGGTTAATTCTTCACTACATACTCCTGTGAAAGCAGGACAGGTTTATACCAGGTCCAGGAAGAGAAAAAAAAAAAAAAAATACAGGAGCCCAGAGGGCTTATTTCCACAGAAAGAAACTTTCATCCCATGGTTTTCTGATATTGCAACTTAGACTTTACTTTTTAAATTTTGTTATAAAAATTTTCAAACATAAACAAAAGTAGACTACCATAACAAATCACCAATGCGCATTCCCCAAATTCAGCAATTAATCAAGTTCTGCCATATTTGCTTCATCTATTTCCTTTTCTTTTGGCTTAATTAGTGAATCCCCAAAACTGCGGTATTTTACCCCTACATACATTTTCTTATATAACCATGATTCTACTAACAATAATTCCCACATATCATCTAATACCCAGTCTATATTCAAATTTCCACAACTGTCTCAAAAGATCTTTTTCAGTTGATTTATTCTAATCAAGATCCAAGTAAGGTCCACAAATTTGGTTGTTATACTTTTTAAGTATCTTTTACTCTGGAATGATCAAATACAGAAACACTCTCACACATATACTCTTCAGAGCAAAGGCAGTAACACAAAGCCCAAATATAAAAAAGGTAAATTTTAATAAAATTTAATAAAATCATATCTATCTGAAGAGTCATCTGCTCAGAATGTTTCTCCATAATATCAGACCTTAGGCATTTACCTGCTTATACAGTGCATAGAGTTTTAGCTGACTTGACGGCACACGACAACAACAACAACAACAACAACAGAGTTTTAGCTTCACTTCATTTTCTGGGTCTGTCTGCAAGAGTTTCACTTGATTCACTGCAGTCTCAAAGTCCTTCTGACTGGTTGCCATTGCTCTTCTGCTCACAGGCAGCTTAAGTGTGGGGAACTTAACGACCTGCAGAGGACTACACACAGATAGACAGACAGAACAGACAGACAGACATCAACACTCTGCAGCCTGATTTCTGATTGTTCCTGGCTCTTACAGCCAAAATGCTATGTCTTTGTATAAAAATTTTCTCTATATTTGCCTTAGAAAGCTGGCTGCAAATGGTCAATGGCTTCCAAACCAATCCCTAGATAAGATATCAACCCAGAAAGTACCCACTTTAAAATAAGGTAAAGGAAGCTTTTAGTCCACACTACTGACACTCTTAGGGAAGCTCTGGTGTTGTAGAAGTCTGGAGGTTCAGATCCACCAGCCACTCCTCAGAAGGAAGACTGGACAATCTACTTTCGTAGAGACACCGCCTCGGAAACCCAAGGAGGGGATGCTATGAGTCGAACTGACCCCTAGGCAGTGAGTCTGGCTTTTTGATTTGGACTGACACTATTATTTACAAGCCATTCAAACTAAGATAAAAGCCTTCAGAACCTACTTGGCCCTGTAAATTCTGCCACAGGCAAGAAGAAAATGAAGGATTAGAAAACCAGAAGTAGGCAGGAGACCAGAGGGGTAAAGTGCATGCAAAGAATTTAGTCATGTGTTCCAAGTTCCACAAACAGCCCCTGCATTACTAGATCAATTCTTTCCTCTATGCTGATGTAGAGCCTAAGGCATTTGACTGCTAACCAGAAGGATGAGGGTTCAAACCTACCAGCCACTCTTCAGAAGGAAGATAGGCCAATCTACTTCCGTGGAGATACTGCCTCAGAAACTCAAGGAGGGGTCGCTATGAGTTGGGATGGACTTGATGGCAGTGAGTTCGTTTTTTTGTTTTGTTTTGTTTTGGATGCTCAGCAAACCATATATCCCAATATACAAACACCTGGGGATGAGGGGAGAATGCGCAAAGAACCAAGAAATGTTGGGAAGGATGGAGGGGCAGCTGTTGGGAGCTGGGCTGTAAGTCCACCTGCTGTAGGATGTTCCCCCTTCAGGTTCAATGTTCAACCAGCCAGGAGCAGATAAGAAACAGCAATTGCAGCCAAGTGGTTAAGTGTTTTCAAGCAGAGGGGAGGAGAGGGGAAAACTTCAGTTCATAGTTTTGAGACCTGCCCCCGCCACACAAATGGGTGCTCATAATCATGACCCTGCATATCAAAGTTAATGGTGTCAAAGTCCATTACAATAATACACTAAGTTATAAAATTAAGTTATAAAAATAAGTTATAAAAAAGCCCAAACTCAGTAAATGTCTCACCTCCTCTACCATTATGTTAACTTTCAAATGGTACAATAACCCTGGGTTCACAAGTTATTCAATAAAATCAGGCCACAATAAATTTTATATTAAATAATGAAGTTAATTTTTCAAAAAAGGAAAAGCTCTGTGTCCTACATGAATTTGGTACCTTGCAAATTCTGAGTAGGAAATGAAAGAAAAATTTAAGGCGTTCACAGAAGGCTTAAGTGTTCAACTTACCACATAATGTGGTGAAATAGGGAACCACTTATCTATGTAAAATTGTGTTTTTTAAAATTATAAAAACATGACCATTTAAGAAAATATATACAATCGGGAAAAACCCTAGTAATCTCACAACCTAAAGGCGATCTGTGTTTCAACGTTTTCCTGTTACCTATGCAGACATTGTTTAGTCTTCTCTTTTGACTGTGTACCAGGCATTTCACTTAACATAGCCTAAGTATTCTCCAAAAAACCAAATCGCTTGACCCTAGGACAACATCTTGTATTACTATAAACCAAAACTGATAGTCACTGCTACCAAGTCGATTCTGACTCATAGCTACCTCCCTTGGGTTTCTGAGGCGGTACATCTTTACAGGTAGTAGATTTCCCCATCTTCTTTCCGCGGAGCGGCTGGTGGATTTGAACCAACTTTCTGGTGAGCAGTCAAATGCCTTAGGCACTGCACTACCAGAGTCCCTTTGCATTTCTACAGAGTTTAGAAAATAAGTAAAGTGTGTCTCAATCAACTATTTCATCCGAACAACCTCCGCTCCGCAGCATAAAAGTCGCTTGTGTAGCGCAGGGGAGGCCTCTCTGCACAGCAAACTCGCGTCCTTGGCCTCCTGGCCTCCCGGCCTCGTCCTTCCAGTCCTTTCCCGGTGCATCAGAACCGGGGAAGCGAGGCGGAGGAGGCGCGCGCCAGGAAAGTATAATTAATATGAGTTTTCCAGGAAAACGATATAATAATAATAATAACGACTGTACCTGCCGAGATAGAGCCTGCGGCCTCGGCACTCCTCGCAGGCCAGCGGCGACCTGGGCCTAGCGGCGTCTCTGCGCTTACTCGGGCGGGGACTTAGCCGCCAGCTCCGCGCAAGTCTCGCGGCCGCGGCAGCCATGGCTAGCCGGGACAGGGGGCAGTTGGCGGACGGAGCAAGGGCTAGGGTCGGACCAAGGCTTGCACACTCTGGGAATCTGGTTAAGACTCGGCGGCGCCGAGCCGCGCGCGGGGGCGCGAGCGTCTTGGTGGAGTGAGGATTCCGGGCTGGAGAAGGGCGGGGCCTTTATTGTATACAGGCTCTGGCGGCTTCGGCAGTTGGGGACGAGGAGAGGGCGAGGTGACGTAGAGGGACGTGTGAGAGTTAGGGACCTGGGGGTCGAGTTGGAGGGGCGGGCGGAGAGGCGCAGGGCTGGGTGCTGCAGGAAAGGAGCCAAGGCGCTAGTGGCCAGGGCAGACCGAGCGCGGGACTCACCCTAGCGGCGCCGCAGGGCAAGAGCGGTCGGTGGTGAAGCAGATGGGCCCCAGTTGGCCCCGAGGAAGGTTGGAGGTTACAGCGTGGTCTGGTCTCTCTCGGAGCTGAGCTGCGCGTGTGCGCCGGGCCTTCGCTGGAGGCGGACTAGAAGTTGCTTCCCCACCGAGCGCCTATCTCGATCGCCCACAGGGACTGACACGGGAGGTGTGGTCAGAGTCGAGGGTGTGGTAAAAACTTATTCATTCCAGAAAATGTAAGGTTTAAAAACTCTAGGACACTGGACCATCAGAAGTGGTGTCGAATATTTCATGAACACCTTTGTGTTCATAACCGTTATGTGGAGATGTTTTTGAGTTTTGCAAAATCATTTTCCCTGGGGACGAAGCTGTTACCTCACTCAGTTCCTGGGAACTCCCAACATCTTCATCATTTAAACCAGTGCTTAAGGTAGTCCTACATTACTTACACGCTGCAACATTGTATGTAGATTGCTTCATCTTCCTCCTACGGAGCAACTGGTGCGCGAACCGCTTGCCCTCTGGTTAGCTGCCAAAATGGAAGCCTGGAGGTTCAAACGCACCAGCCACTCTTGAGAAGGAAGACTGGGCAATCTACTTCCATAGAGATAACTCCTGGAAAACCCAAGGAGGGGTCTCTATGAGTGGGAATTGACTTGATGGCAGTGAGTAATAGGCCACCAGAGCTCCTTATTACTAGCAGTAAGAGGTACAAAAATTAGAAGATTGTAAATGCAGTTTGTTGTAACACGAATACAGTAAATGGATGAGAATTCTAGATTTTTATGTAACTTGCACTTATAAAATACCTACAGTGAGGCAGGCTAATTGTAATTCAGCAGTGCTGTAGGGAAAATAAGGAGCTCTGATGGAGCAGTGGTTAAGACATTGGGCTGCTAACCAAAAGGTCTGCGCCATTCTGCTTCCATAAAGATTTACAGCCTTGGAAAGCCTAATGGGGCAGTTCTACTCTGTCCTACAGCGCTCCTATGAGTCTGAATTGAATTGATGGCAATGGGTTTGCTGGTTTTTTTGGGGTAGGGAATACAGTGTATGCCACCTTTTTCTGAAATGGAAATTGAGGATCAGATTAATTTGGTGCCAGTGGGCAGACACCTGATTCAGCTCGGTGCCTAGATTCCAAAACTTGGATTGCTGTAGACTCCAACTCATGGTGACCCCATGTGTGTCAGAGTAGAACTATGCTCCATAGGGTTTTCAATGGCTGATTTTTGGAAGTAGATCACCAGGCCTTTATTCCTAGATATCTCTGGGCAGACTTGAATCTCCACCCTTTTGGTTTGTACCTTTTTGTGCTATTCACTAAGAATCCAAATTCCAGGTAATACCATTCCATGTTGATGGCCCTATCTTGCTTCATCAAGCAGATCTGGGTAATTGTCTAGGTTGGGGAAAGATGGAAGGCCAGGTTGAGCAATTTGGATTTATTCTGAAACCCGTCTTCAGATAGTTGGTGAGCTGAGTCTTTCAGAGACCTTTCCCATCTCCCTGGCTGCATTAAGTGACCCTCAGGAAGTGATGGAAATACACTAATCAGAAATTGTAGATACTGGAATATTCACTGGGCTCCGGAGAATGAAACACCTGGCATAGAAATATCAATATTTAAAAAAAATGCTTTTCTGGTGAGCATATTTAAATTGTGAAAATTTCACAATACAGGTGAGCTCTTTTTAGGCTTATCTCTAATATATTCCACACAGAGAAATATACAATTTTAAAAATATGGATTGAGTGTGTGTCAAAGATTGACTTAACTCATTAATGAGGGAGCCAGCAAGGTGGTAAAGTTGGTTCAAAAATAGCTAGTTTATATAGTTGGTAGAGTTGTATAGTCTGTGCAAATGGTTAACATGCTGGGCCTCTAACCAAAACGTTGGAGGGTTGAGTCCACTCAGCAGCATCTTGGAAGACAGTCCTGATGATCTACTTTGGAAAGATTGTTGTTGTTACGTGGTATCAAGTTGGCTTCAACAAATAGTGACTCCATGCACAATAGAACAAAACACTGCCTGGTCATGCACCATCCTCACAATCCTTGCTATGCTTGAGCTCATCATTGCAGCTCCTGTGTCAATCCATCTCATTGAAGGTCTTCCCCATTTTCACTGACCCTCTCCTTTACCAAGCTTGATACCCTTCTCCAGGGAATAGTCCCTTCTGAAACCATGAACTAAGTAGGTGAGCAGAAGTCTGGCCATTCTCACCTCCAGGGAACATTTAGTCTGCATTTCTTTCAGAATAGATTTTTCCTTCTGGTGGTCCATGGTATATTCAGTATTCTCTGCCAACACCACAATTCAAAGTCATCAACTCTTCTTTGTTGTTGTTGTTGTTGTTATGTGCCGTCGAGTTGGACCCGACTCATAGCGACCCCTCCTTGGGTTTCCGAGGCAGTATCACTACGGAAGTAGGATTGCCCAACCTTCCTTCCAAGGAGTGGCTGGTGGGTTTGAACCGCCAGCCTTCTGGTTAGCAGTCAAGTGCCTTAGCCACTATGCTACCAGAGCTCCCAACTCTTCTTTAGTTCTCTTTATTTGCTGCCCAGCTTTCACATGCATTTGAGATGATTCTAAACACAATTTCTTGGCTTAGAAGCACCTCACTTTTCAAAGTGACATCTTTGCTTCTTAAATAGTGATTTTAAAGAGGTCTTTCGCAGCAAATTTGCCCAGTGCAATAAGATGTCTGATTTGTTGACTACAACTTCTATGGGTGTTTATTGTAAATCCAAGTAAAATGAAATACCTGACAACTTTAATCTTTTCTCCATTTGCCATGATATTGCTTATTATTAATGCATCTGGATTGCATGTTTGGTCAAGTTCAGACTGTAGAAGTTGGTAGAAATCTTCAATTTTTTCATCTTTGCTTTTAGTGGTTGGTGTGTAAATTTGAATAATAGTAGTATTAACTGGTCTTCCTTGTAGATGTATGCATATCATCCTATCATTGACAGTATTGCATTTCAGGATAGAACTTGAAATGTTCTTTTTGATGATGAATGCAACAACATTCCTCTTCAATTTATCATTCCCAGCATAGTAGACAGTGTTTCACTGCTATTCATGAGGTTTTCCCTGGTGAATTCTTTGAGACGTGGATGGCCTCTTCCTTCGTCCAAGTCTGTCTTAGTCTGGAAGTTCCGCTGAAATCCATCCACCATGGGCAATCTTGCTGGCATTTTTAACACTGATAGGACAGACTCCAGCCTCACAGCAACACACAAGCCACCATAGTACAACAAAATGACAGACAAGTTCATCTCCCTTAGTTGTTGCAAAATGCTCTGCTCACTTCCTGGCCTTCCCCTTACCTGTTCTGGCCATCTGCCCTGGCTCCCACTTCCTGCCTGGGGGCTCTCCTCTTACCTGTTCTGGCCATTGGCCCTGGCTTCCATTTTGGAAGAAAAGACCAAAATGGATTTCAGAAGAGACTCTGAAACTTGCCCTTGAATGAAGAGTAGCTAAACCAAATAGAAGAAATGACAAGATAAAAGAGCTGAACAGAAGATTTCAAAGAGCAGCTCAAGAAGACAAAGCCAATTATTATATTGAAATGTTCAAAGACATGGAGTTGGAAAGCCAAAAGGGAAGAACAAATTCAGCATTTCTGAAGCTGAAAGAACTGAAGAAAAAATCGAAGCCTCAAATTGCAATATTGAAAGATTCATTTGATGGGCAATATATTGAATGATGCAGGAAACATCAAAAGAAGATGGAAGGAATACACAGAGTCACTGTACTAAAAAGAATTGGATGATGTTCATCCATTTCAGGAGGTGGCATATGATCAAGAACCAATGGTATTGAAGGAAGAAGTTGAAGCTGCACTGAAGGAAGTGGCGAAAAACACAGCTCCAGGAATTGACAAAATACTCATTGAGATGTTTCAACAAACAGATGCCACACTGGAGCTACTTACTCGGCTGTGCCAAGAGATTTGGAAGACAGCTACCTGGCCAACTGACTGGAAGAAATCCATATTTGTGCCCATTCCAAAGAAAGGTGATCCCACAGAATTGTGGAAATTATCGAACAATGTCATTAATATCACACACAAGTAAAATCTTACTAAAGATAATTCAAAAATGGTTGCAGCAATATATTGTCAGAGAACTTCCAGAAATGCAAGCTGGGTTCAGAAGAGTATGTAGAATGAGGGATATTGTTGCTGATGTCAGATGGATCTTGGCTGAAAGCAAAAAATACCAGAAAGATGTTTACTTTTGTTTTATTGACTCTGCAAAAGCATTCAATTGTGTGGATCATAACAAATTATGGATAACATTGAGAAGAATTGAAATTCCAGAATACTTAAATGTACTCATGAGGAACCTGTACATAGACCAGCAGGCTGTCATTCAAACAGAATAAGGGGACACTGCAGGGTTTGAAATCAAGAAGGGAGTGTGTTAGGGTTGTATCCTTTCACCATATTTATTTAATTTGTATGCTGAGCAAATAATCCAAGAAGCTGGACTATATGAAGAAGAACGTGGCATCAGGATTGGAGGAAGACTCATTAACAACCTGCGATATACTGATGATACAACTTTTCTTGCTGGAAGTGAGGATGACTTAAAGCACTTACTAATGAAGACTGAAGTATGGATTACATCTCAATATAAAGAAAACAAAAATCCTCACAACTGGACAAATAAGCAGCATCACAATGTTGTTGTTGTTATTGTTATGTGCCGTCGAGTTGGACCCGACTCATAGCAACCCCTCCTTGGGTTTCCAAGGCAGTATCACTACGGAAGCAGATTGCCCCATCTTCCTTCTGAGGAGTGGCTGGCGGGTTTGAACCTACGCTACCAGAGCTCCCATAAACAGAGAAGAGATTGAAGTTGTCAAAGACTACTTGGTTCTACAATCAACACCAATGGAAGCAGCAGTCCATATATGAGACAACATATAGCAGTGGGCAAATATACTGCAAAAGACCTCTTTCAAGTGCTGAAGACTCCTTGAAGACTAAGGGGCGCCTGACAGAAGCTGTGGTATTTTCAATCCCCTTTTATGCATGTGAGAGCTGGACAATGAATACGGAAGATCAGAGAGTCAATGCTTTTGAGCTGTGGTGCTGGCGAAGAATGCTGAAAGTACCATGGACTGCTAAAAGAATAACAAATCTGTCCTGGAAGAAGTGCAGCCGGAATGCTCCTTGGAAGCAAGAATGGCCAGACTTGGTCTTGCCTACTTTGATTATGTTGTCAGAAGGAACCATTCCCTGGAAAAGGTTATCATGCTTGGTAAAGTGGAAGGTCAAGACCCTCAACAAGATGGACTGACACAGTGGCTGCAACGATGGGCTTCGGTATAGCAAGGACTGTGGGGCTGGCACAAGACCAGGCCGTGTTTTGTTCTGCTGTACATGGGGTTGTATGAATCAGAGACTACTCAATGGCATCTAACAACAACAAACATAGTAGATCATATGATTGCCTGATTCAGAAAGGCCAAGACCATTCCATTTTAGCTTACTAATGCCTAGGATATTGATCTTTATGCATTCCATTTCATTTTTGACAACTTTCAATTTTCCTAGATTCACACTTTGTACATTCCATGTTCTGCTTGTTAATGAATATTTGGAGTGGTTTCTTCCCATTTTGAGTTGTACCTCATCAGCAAATAGGCATCCTGAAAGCTTTACTCCATCCTACTTTGAGGAGGCAGCTCTTCTTCATTTGTATGTTGAATGCCACCCAACCTGGGGGCTTATCTCCTGGCACTATATCAGACAATGTTTCATGACTATTCATAAAGTTTTTCAGTAATATATCAGGCAGTGTTT